CATGTAATGGGTCATCCCGGAAAGACAAAAGACAAAGACAGATAAAGAAGCAATTAGGAAAAACGTTTCCAAATTCTACAGCCGATGCTCACCACTCACTGAGGCTCCATGAGCCAGCTTAAGGAAACAAAATGATTCCAGCACAATGCAGACAGGCTTCTGGCAAACAAAATCAGAGACAGAGGGCTAGAAATGCAGTTCTGTGGGCAGGGGATTCTGGGTGCATGGGAAGCCCTCTTCTCCATCACTGGTGCTGACAGGTGAAATAACACTAACCAAACCAAAAAGAAGCACAAGAAAATGTGGTAAAATGGCAAAGCAGCCAGAGAATGAACAATCCTCACAGAACAAAAGCCATCAAAGTGGTTAATGGGAGGACCAGCAAGATAGTTCTGCAAATTAAACGCTTAGGCAAGCATAGGGACTGGCATTGAGCTCCTCTGGTACCCCATGCCCCACCAGCCCCACCCTTGTCTGGACACAGTGACGTCTGTAATACCAGCCCTGGGGAGGCTGAAAAAAGCAGAATCTCTAGGAGACTGAGTTTCATTCATAGTGAGACCCTGTACCAAATACATTTTTTTTGGGGGGGTGGGCTTGGCTCCGAATGCCTTCAGGGCAGGTTTGGCTGGCTTGAGTTGTGGGGATCGAACCACAGCAACCTGAGCCTGACTGCTTTGTTGAAGCAGCCACTTAAAGAACTGAGCTAAAGGGGCAGCCCCCGACCCCCAAATACATTTAAAAAAGGAAAGGAAAAGTGGTTAAGGGCAACTGCTCATCTGACACAGAAGAGCCCAGAAAGACTAGATGGAGGTATGCACACCAAGAAAACAGTCTGTCACCTGGGAGTTTCCAATTAGGCAAAAATAGACTTTGTAAATAAAGGTACAAGGAAATATTTCCTAAAAAATTGATAGTTTATTGCTGCCATTTACCAGTACAATTGCATTTTTAAATTAGATAAGAAGGCTCATTCTCAGCACTTCTATCCAATATGGCACAGGAAGTTCCAACTTCAGGAACTAGGGATGTAGAAAATAGTGGCTATCCAGTAATGTCAGGAAAGAAGTTCATCTGCCTTCACGCTGAAACGGTGTGACTCTGTAAAACACTGACGACTCCATCGAACACCTTTTGGAACTCATATAAATTCAGTAAAATTGTAGGATAAAAATATCAGCATATCAATATCTAACACATTTTATGCACTACCAACCAACTGCCCAAAGAGAAAGAAACAACCCACTTAAAATAGTAATAAAAGATAATATTTAAGAATAAATTGAACGAAGATGTGAAATATCTGGACACATCAAACTCTAAAAGCTTGATGAAAGAGGATAAAGAAACAAACAAATGGAAATCTACGGAAGTTCTAACATTTGTAAAATGTCCATACTACTTACTGTAAACTATAGATTCAGCGCAAGACAATCATATCAAACTTTCCACACTTTTTAAAGAAATAGAAAAAAAATCATAAAATATATATGGAGGGCTGGCCAGATAGCTCAGCAGATTAACGCGCCTTCTTAGGCAGACATGGAGACTGGGATTTGATTCTGGGGAGCTGGGGGGCTCTACCAGCCTTCCTCACAGGGTGTGCTGAGATGGGAACTGAAACTGAGTTTGGTGGTGCACTCCTATAATACTAGTGCTTGGGAGGCTGAAAACCAGAGGATCAGTATGAGTCCAATCTGCGTAGTGAGATGCTGTAGACCCAGATATAGATAGATAGATAGATAGATAGATAGATAGATAGATAGATAGATAGATGATAGATAGATAAAGATATAGATATAGATATAGATATAGATATAGATAGTTCATAAAACAGATCCAAAAGGCCAAACGGTCTTCAGAATTAGAGTGAAACTGGAAGCATGCTTATAATACCTCCTAAAATACCATTTGAAATCTACTCCAAAGCTATGGTAATCAACATACATGGTTTTGGCCTTCAAAACAAGACATATTAGACAATGTAGGAAAATAAAGTTCTAAGAAACTGAAATGAATTTAGAATAAGTTGGATTTTGACCAGGGTATCAAGAAGACACTGTGTGGAAGGAATTATGTCTTGAATAAACTGGATGGGATAACTGCACATTAGCAGGCGACATAACGAAATGTCACCCTATGTCTCAAAGCACACATAAGGGCTGGGGAGATGGCTCAGTAGAATAAGTGCTTGCCTGGCAAGTGCAAGGGCATGAGTTCAATCCCTGGTTAAAAAAAAAAAAAAAAAGAAAGAAAGAAAGAAAGAAAGAAAGAAAGAAAGAAAGAAAGATCAAACCACATGTAAAGCTCAACTCCAGGGCCAGCCAAATAGCTCAGCAGATTAAAGTACCTGCAAGCAGGCTCAGGTGCCAGGAGTTCGATCCCCAGGCCTGCCATGATGGCCCCACCCCCAGTGCTTGTTGAGACAGCCACTGAGACCAGGTGTGGTGGCACATGCCTGTAATCCCAGTTCTTGGGAGGCTGTAAACAGGGGGATCACTACAAGTCCGATCTAGTAGTGAGACCCTGAACACCCTGTAGACCCTTCCATAAAATAAAAAAGAAAAAATCAACTGCAAATATGTGAAGATGCTGAACAAAACAAATGAAAATGAAAAATTACTAGAAGAAAACACAGGGAAAAGCTCCAAGACAGTGCATGGTAAAGACTTTTTTAATATGAAATCCAAAGTAGTGTAAAAAAGCAAAAGTAGAAAGGCAGAGGTACATCAAACTACAAAGCTTTTGCACAGCAAATGCAACAGTGAACCAAATGAGCATGCAGGCTGTGGATTGGGAGAAGACATTTGCAAACATGTATGGGATAAAGCAATGAAACCCAAAGACATAAAGAACTCATGTAACTTGCCATCATAGAAACAACTATTTCAATTTACAAAATGGACAAGCACCTGAATAGACATTCCCTTAAAGATGTACAAATGGACTGCAGCTATACAAAAAATTCTCAAAATCATTAATCATAAAAACATGTAAAGTAAAACTACAGTGAGGCAGCCCCTCACTACTGTTAGAATGACTGCTGATGTTAAAGCAAACAGCAAGGGAAGGCAATGATGTGGAGATATGGAGCCTGTTACAGGATGGTGGATGTGGAATTTAGTCATTATGGTGAATATTATGGAAGGTTCTCAACACATTAAAAATACAGAAACAGCACATAATGTAGCAATCTAAACACTAGGAGTATGTAAGAAAGGTATGAATCCCTATGCCCAGCTCTTATGTACTCTCATGTTACCTTCTGAAGTATTATTCAAAATATCCAGGATATGGAATCAATCTGAGCTCCTGTCAATGTATAAATGAATAGAGATAAAGTGGCAAACACACGATGTCAAATTCTTTGACTTGGAAAATAAAGAATGAAATCTTGTCATTTGCAGCAACATGGAGGAGGATGGAGGATTTTATGATAAATGAAACCAGAAAAACCCAGATAATCAGTAATGTGTATCATCACATAAATATGTGGAATGAACAAATGGGGATCTCACGTAAGCCAAAGTGGAATGTGGGGAGGGTTGAGGGTCTAAGATGGGCAGATATTTGTCAAAAGATATGAAATAGAAGTTAGAAAGAACAAATATATTAGAGAAATTTGCTGCATTGTATGATAGCTACACTGAGGAACAATGTGCTATATTCTTTTTTTTTTTCTTCATTTCTGTATTTGGTTCAGGGTCTCACTACACAGATCAGTCTCATGGCGATCCTCTATTTCCAGCCTCCCCAGCAATGAGATTACAGGAATGTTCCACGATGCCTGGAGTCTGTCACCAGCTCAGTGCAAACTCCATGGAAACCAGAATGGAGATTGCTCAAAATCTAGGATTAGGGGCCGGGGAGATGACTCAGTAGAATAAGCGCTTCCCTGGCAAGAGCAATGGCCTGAGTTCAATCCCCGGTTCCGCAAAAAAAAAAAAAAAAAAAAAATCTAGGACTGGAAGTTCCATTAAAATCAGCTATTCTCCTTTTGGGTATTATTACAGAAGAATTAAATACATCATACAACAGCAATATATGTGCACCCATGCTCATAGAAGCACAACTGTCATTACTAAGTCTTGGAAACAGTGCAAATGCCCACAAACTGAGGTATCAATAAAAAAAGTTGTGGTATTTTTATGCAATGAAAAATTACTCAGTTATAAAGAAAGGTAAACTTGAACTTTCCATACCTAAATGGTACAACTATAGGCCATGCTTATAAGTAAATAAATCAGACCCACATGTGTAGATGCCCTATTGTCTCCTTAGTATATGAATCAGAAAGAATAAATAAAATTTGAAAGGTACAATAAAAGTAGTAAAACTCGAAGCTTTTATATTGAAGTGGATGCCACTTGAACATATACTCATAAGTGAAACAAACCAGACATACATGTGTAAATATTGTGTGGTCTTCCTAGTATAAGAACTCAAAAGAAGAAATACAAATAGAAAGGTATAATACAAGTAAAAGGAAAGCAGGATCTCAAGGACTAACTAGTCAAGAGAGGGAAAGGAGAAGAGCTAGGAAACATGAATAAGTCAAGCCATACAGTTATATGTAGAAGATGGGCAAGGCAATG